GAGAGAGAGGAGAGAAGAGATAGAGAGAGAGAGAGAGAGAGAAGAGAGAGGAGAGACGAGAGAGAGGAGAGAGAGAGAGAGAGAGAAGAGAGAAGAGTGGGAGAGAGAGAGAGAGAGAGAGAGAGAGAGAGAAGAGAGAGAGAGAGAGAAGAGAGAGAGAGAGAGAGAGAGAGAGAGGAGAGAGAGGGGGGGGAGGGAGGGGGAGGAGGGAGGGAGGGAGGGAGAGAGGGGGGGAGAGGAGTGGGAGAGGGAGGAGAGGAGAGGGAGAGGAGAGGGAGAGGAGAGGGAGAGGGAGAGGAGAGGAGAGAGAGAGAGAGAGAGAGAGAGAGAGAGAGAGAGAGAAGAGAGAGAGAGAGAGAGAGAGGAGAGAGAGAGAGAGAGAGAGAGAGAGAGAGAGAGAGAGAGAGAGGAGAGAGAGAGAGAGAGAGAGAGAGAGAGAGAGAGAGAGAGAGAGAGAGAGAGAGAGAGAGAGAGAGAGAGTTACAAATAGAGAGTGAGAGAGAGAGAGACACTAAACGAACGAACAGGCGCATCTGCAGACAACTTGCCATCAGCTGATGTTTGTTGACAATAAAGGTCCGTCACAAAAATAAGGAATGTCCAAATAGTGTGTTCGAGATTGCAAAATTTACTTTAAGTGATTTTTGCGATATCGATATATACATTTCATACTACATCAACTGGACAAAAGTAAAACAAAAATAATGGATATGTAATAATCATGGATAAGTAATTACTCGCCTTTGCATATTAAGCTGTGCATGCAGTCTATGGTAATTGTTTTGTGTCATCTGCGAACAAAATAATAATAAGAATAAATCAATAGATATCTCTCAAATGTTTGCTAACTGTCATTTTGTTGTATTTTTACTATGGGGGTTTCTATCCTTAGTTTCTGAAATTTTGACAATACAATAATGTCCGAGAAGTTTGACTTGGCTTTGGCTTCATTCTGTTTCCTATTTAACTATTGTTAAGATATATGAAAATATATCATTATCATCGAAGTATTAATCTAAGGACGAAAATCTACAAAATGATATGGATTGGGTCTTAAAAAGATAGGTATTCCGGCAAAATGAATTACGGCGCAGTGCAGTTTGTTTTGAAATCACTTCCCCGCAACAAGGAAATAGCACGTCAGACAAAAGCCGAAATAACACAACACTGAAACTACTCAATTATCAGCCTCGCCCTTCTTTTCACTGTTCAAATATTGAAAAACATTTTTAAAAACGCAAGAGAGACGAGATGTCAGAGCGGCGGAAACTGTAGGATTCTATCTTAGATGACTCAACAGCTGTGTGTGGTGATCAGTCCTCATGTGATCTGCAGTCATCATAACGCCGCCGCGACCACACTCGTCAAGATGTGGCCGATAGCGTCTCTTTTGTTGGCCTTAGCCCTACAGGGTGTGTGGAGCGAAACAAGCAGTAATGATACAAAGGTGGATTTTCCGTGCAAAGTGGTTGATGGGGATCATGTCTACGATCTCAGCGAACTGGCAGCGAGAGACTACTGGAAGTATGATGAGACCCTGCACACTGGTCTGTTCCAAAGTAGAGTGATGTACATGAGCTTCTGTCACCCCCTCAGGAACGCCCCAGTAGTGTGTGAGGGGGAGAATGTGGGTGTTTGTGAGAGCAAGAAGGATGACACAGGGAGTGAGGTACCCCTAGGGAGTCGGGGGCAGGTGTCCTCTGTGGGCCCGGCCATCACGGAGGATGGCTGGTTAAGCTACGTGTTTGAATCTGGTGCTAAGTGCAACAAGAGCATTCATGATACCACATACAAAACCTATGTCCATCTGTATTGTGCTAGAGATACTGCAAGTGAGACTTCTGGACCTATGCTGATGAGCTCTCCAGGATGCGAGAGGACTTTTGCGTGGATGACAAAGGCAGCATGTCCTGTCAAGGCAGAGATCAAAAGGGAAAGTTGTACAGTGAAGTTCTCAAACTCGGATTACATTCTGAATCTACATACGCTACACACGGAAAAATATTACAATGTCTCAGGCTCAAAAGCCAAATACGAACTTAATTTCTGCGGCCCAGTCACTGGTGGTCATTGTGGGTCAGATGCAGCCACGATGTGTGATGTGACAGATCCATCAGCTCCTGTTGTGTTTGGCACTTTGGAAGGTATGGACATGAAGTGGGAAAATGAAGCCCTTATTTTAGCCTACAAGAATCAGGAAAATAGTGTTAAAATCATGTTGTTTTGTGAAAGAACTGCTACATCTCCTATGATCTACTTTGTGGAGAAGAAAAACAAAGAAGTAGTATTTTCTGTCAAAACTGCAGCAGTTTGCACTCCAGATGAAGCTCCAGAATGTGTCATAGAGGATGACAAAGGCAATGTTTATGACCTGAGATCTCTGAGGAAGGAGCAAGGAAATTGGGAGGTTCTTGATGAACGAGATGACCACAAGGTATGTTAAATAAATAAAAGGTCAATATAGGATATATTTCTCATTGTAAAACAAAATGTAATATATCTTAACAAAGAAACCCACAGAGGCTTTCAAAATGGGACAGTGAAATCTAGAATGAGAGCATAGCATCAGGTAATTGCTGCGGCCAGTGTGATAATGTCACTCTAGTTAAAGCCAACAAACCTCTGATATAAACTTTCTGCTAAGATGGAGCTTAAACTGGTTTTATTTTATAATTATATATTACCAGGAAAATCTAAAAGTTCTTACCAGAAAATGTGATAAACATTTCTGTGTTTGGTTATAAATATGTGTATATATTTTTGTAAATATTATATATATATATATATATATATATATATATGTATGTATATATATGTATATATTATGTATGTATATATATATATATATATATGTATATATATATAATTATATATATATATATATATATATATATATATATATATGTATATATATATATGTATTTATATATATATGTATATATATATGTATATAATATATGTAT